AAAAATGTTTTATAACTAATGTCTGATCTGATTCTAATCTATAAATATTATTATTTATTAATTATAATATAATAAAATATTAATAATTAAAATAAAAAAATGTAAACATACCTATAGAAAAAACTAATCTCATCTATATTATAAATCTGTTTAAGAGGATAAATAATTACTGTTAACGTGCAATTCTATGATTTGTGATAGTTAGACGAGTGTTCAGGTGGTGATTCTTTTAAATTTACGTAGTGATTTAATCTCGGTTTAACTCAAGTTTATAATTTACACAGCAGAGGACTTCTGATAAGATTAAAAGCAAAATAGCTCAATTGATTCAGAGAAATAATAATATGTTTATTGACAATAATAAAAATAAGATAATAATAATATATGAAATAATAAAATAAGAAAGAATAAGAGAAATCAAAAGAGTTAAGGTATTAATTGGAATGTTAGGCCAGACGTCTCTATAAGAATTACTAGATGTATATCTAAAAGCAAAGCTAAAGGAAAACTAAAAGTGAACTAAAAGCAAATCTAAGTTTACATGATTTTATTGCTTTCTATTTATATTAAATTAATACATAGGCAGATATAACAAATAAATCAAATATATTTAATATATTCGATATGTTAAAGATATTAATTATATCAAATATGTCTAGTATATCAAATATATCAAATATATTCAATATGTCTGATATGTCTGACATTTAGATCTGCAATATACTGCGTCACATTTATCAATCCAATCCTATTACATTACATTTATCATATATTAACGGTAAAGCTTCTATGATAGTAGCTTAATCAGCTAATGCTGCTTTACTTTGTAATTTTATCTGATGAATTTCATTGCGTTTTTAAATTCTTGAAGCTAACTTGAAGAAAACTGTAATGCATTTTTGAGAATTCCTAATCCACTTGCTAATAATTTAGCTTTTTCAGTTAATATTGCATCACTCAGAATAGCTTAGTATTGATAACTTAAAACAAACTCCTTAAGAGCAAGTTTAAGCTTTGAAAAAGTAACAGATTTATGCCATTTTTGTTCTGGATGGATAACTTTAGAGGTAAGTCATTTGTTTTGACCTTGTAAAATTTATGTTACTGTACTCTTATGAATTCTAATACCCTATTTTTACTCAATCTAATCTACATATTCATCTTAAAATTTTTTATTATTACTAGTATAAGCACAAAGCTTATATTTTAAATATTTATCAAGGTAACTTTTTTCATAATTTGATTTTTTAGTTAAAAAGAAAAGGAAGGAAAAAGGTAAAGAAAAAAAAGCAAAAGAAAATTAGAATGTGAAAAAATATGTTAAAATATATTGATTACCAATCTATTAGTTGATCAGTGCACATGATTGAATTTTAATAAAAAACAAAAATGTGTCTTATAATATAAGACTTAACCATACTTTAGAAAATATAGAAAAAAATAGCATTTAATATAGACTAATTAGTGATAAGTATTTTTAGAATTCTAGAATTTTTTTTTAAAAACTTAAATATTATTAAATAAAGTATCAATACCTTATTATTTTTTTATTTAATAAGTTGCAGTTATATTAATATTGTTATAGTTAAGGTGATTGCAATTATAGTGTTATAGTTTAGGTATAATTTAGTTGAACTTTGATTTAAGTTGTGATTTATATTGCTTGATATTATTGTGGTTAAAGTTATTACTACCATAATTAAGGCAGTTACGGTTTATTATAATTTATATCAGTATTATAACTTATATAAATCAACATGTATTAAAAATAAAAAATGAAAACTGAAATGAAAGAATTTTTAAAAAAAGGTAGGTTTTTTTTATGAAACGCAAGATATTTATTTGTATCAATTTGTAAACTTTATCAATTAGTGCTAACTAAATCTGATTGAATTACTTTATCAATTGGTATTTATCAATTAGTGCTAACTAAATCTGATTGGATTACTTTATTAATTAGTGTTTATCAATTAGTGCTAACTAAATCTGATCAGATTTCAATTATACAAAATCACATGATCGTATTATTAAAAATCATGTGTGTACATTTAAAAAGTATATTGCTAATATAGATGGGATCAGAGATTCATTGCACAGTGTAAATATAAAAAGTATACATTTAGCTCTAAGTCTCAGCTTAAGAGCGGGATAAAGTGTGTATATAAAGAGGTTGTGGACTTATAAGTGGTATACTTATAGAGAGTTGACTGTATAAAAATCATTTATATTTCAATCTTTTGATATTTGTAATAATTCAATAAAAATACTTTTATATTTTCTTTGAAATAATATTAAAATTTCTATAATACTTTCTAAATATTCTTTAAAATATCTATTTATAAAAAATATTAAATATATATCTAAAGTAAATAAAATAAAATTATTTAATAAATCAATTAGCATTTGATATTCTATACCTTCAGTATTTTCAAATCTTTTTATAAATAATATCATAAATATTTTTCTATAAGTTAGATATAAAATAAGATTAATTACTATTTGTTTTGACTTTTGAGATAAAATTTTCTTATTTTCAAATAAATTATGATATAATATTCAAAAAAAGAAATAATATATTTGAAATAAAATTTCTTTACTATTTAAAGAAATATGAAGTAGACTAATCCTAAAATTAAATTTAATACTTTTTTTGAAATTTTAGAAGTAATTTTTTTAAATGTTATAACCCTTCTTATATTTCTTGTCTGTAATTATAGGAATAATAAAATTATTTTCAATATTTTATATTCTTTTAAATGCTTTAAATACCAAATCTACACATTCAATATAATCTTTAGTACTATATAATGAATGCAAAATAAAATCAACCAATTTACTATTAGACATTGATCTTAATTCATGATAATTTTGAATTCTACTATCATAATCATGAATATTAAATTGTACTGCTCTATTTTCAAATGAACCTTTTCAATTAAATATTGTTTCCATAATTCTTTTCTTTAAAATACTTTTTCCTAATTGATTTATAAAATTATTATTAATGTTAATTAATTCAAATCAATTCCTTTAAAATTATGAACTGAAATATCATCTAATGAATATAATGACATCCTTGGTATTTTAGAATTTGTATTTAACAATATTGTTACAAAATGATAAATATTATATAATGTTGTTTGATTACGTCGATGAATATTATAGTTATTGGTATTCATTTGAAAATAATATTTTTTCTGTCGATTCACAGTTTTTCTTGTTATTGAAATTCCAATATTTGCTAATGTATCGGTAGAAGAGGAGTATCCTACTTATTATTAATACTAGGCCACCAAAAGTGATGTCAATCAAATCAAAAAGGGGAAATATTTGCTAGAAGTTGGTTGTACAAACCGAAATTGCTTTCTGAGCATTATGAGAAAACCGATTTTTTAATGATTCAAACACCAATAAAAAAAAGACGTGGGAGGCCACCTCTCTCGATATCAGCAAAAATTCGAGCAGTTTTTAAATTTTGCCCCATATCACCAACTCATTTTCAAGATTTTTCTGATAATTTTGATCCACAAAAACTTTATCCTGAAATTTGGGCAAAACGAACGTTTGTAAAAAAGAAAAAGTATGCAACTCTCAAAGAAGAAAATAAATTTGGTTATCATAAAGAGGAGGTAGAAATTTCTGATAAACTGGTAAGAATATTTAAATTTCAAACTTTCTAATATTTAGGCTATTTATGGTATGAATTTACCGGTCTTCTGAAATGCCTAGATCCAAACTACAGACCAAAGTCACGATAATTCTACTTTTGCGACAACAATTACCTCAGCACCTGTTCGATTAAAGTTAATTGTGCGAGATGGAAACGAAAATAATGCAAGTTTATCATGTATAAAAAAAAAAGATTCCAATTTAAGTAAAGATTAATAATTATTTGATTCTGATCGACTTTAATAGACCCCAATAAAACCACCAAGAAAAAAGAAACCCAATCCGTTAGATCAAAAAGAGGAATGCTATCTTTTACATAAATTACAACATGCTTCAAAACTCTTATCACCTAAAGCCGCTAGATTAAAGAGAAAATTATTTCTACGAAAAGTAATATAAAGATATTCATTGATTTGACATTTACTCCCTCTGATTTAAATATCTAAGATACCTTATGATTTATAGCTAAAAAAAGATAGAGGGATGAAAATTTTTGATATTGATGCAATTGTCACAGAACACATGAGATCATCTTCACCTCTTGAACCATTGACACCTGATGACGAGGAGGATCAACCTCGTGAAGTAGTTATCGAAACATCCGTTCAAGATAAAGTAGAGAAAGAAACGGATAATTTTAAACAAGTATATAAATTTGCTGAAAGTATTTTCTTCAAAGTATTTAAGAACTTATTTATGAACTGGTTTTAATATTATTTAGATCACGTGTACGCCTTATAAAAACTCTTTTGCGTCAAGGCTATATGGAACTCCTCGACTCGCATCTTCTCTTACCGCAGAGGAAGCTTGGACGAGTCCTTTCAGTAATAGAAAATTGAAACCGTTTATTCGCAGAGATTACGAAACCATACCACCAAAATTAAATTTATTACAAGATATCATAAGATACCCACATCGGTATACATATGCGTGTAATTGCGAAATTTATTGATAAAAACCATCGGATCCTCAATTATAATATTTGTTTACTATAAAATAGGAATGATCCCAATTGGTTATCACCACCTGTTAGTCCTATAGATTTCTGTTATTTCCAAAGGGAACACTTGGCTCAAGTTAATGATCTGCTGCAAAAGTGTTTTTGGCCAGGCATTGATGGTAAGTCTTTAACATCCTTACATTAAAGGTTTGGAGTGATCTGCTGTTTAATTAATTATTTGTTTGGGAAAATCAGTTTCGGAAAATCTTCTTTTCCCTGATTTTAGTATTGTAACTATGTATAAACGATTAATAGTTGGGTGTGGGTTTATGACTCCCGAAGCTTATATCACGTACATAGCTGTTGCGCCTGGGTGGGAAAAATCAGGGATTGGACAGTGAGTACTCTTCTTTTTTTTTTTGTAAATTTTTTTTAAATTAATCTCTCACTATTTTCCATCCCTCTTAAATATCAGGTTTATGCTATACCACCTAATTCAGGTTGAATGTCATTTATTTGCAGTCATATTCTTTGAAGTTTCTTTCTAGATGTTAATGTATTACTTTACATTTTAAAATAGACGAATATCGGTAAAGATGTTACTCTTCATGTTTCAGCAAATAATCCTGCAATGGTATTTAGAATTAAGTTGTTCTAAGCTCCTTTTTTTTTGGTTATGAATAAATAATATTAATCATATAATATATATCTGTTATATAGATTCTTTATCAAAAATTTGGTTTCAAGCCGGAAGAATTCATTGTAAATTTTTATGATAAATACTTACCTGATGGAAGTTTGGAGTGTAAAAATGCTTTCTTTGTACGATTGAGGCGATGAATAAAGGTTAATTCCACCACCATTTTTTATTCTTCCATTTCCTCATTTTTTCCTCTCTATCCGCATGATATTTATTTTTTTCTATTTTGTACTCTCGTTCTAAAGTTTTCCAATCGTCGATTTCTTTTTGTTCCATTTCCTGTGGATATCTCACGGCATTACGTAATCGAGGTGTATATGGATGAATGAGCTCTTCCATTTTTTTATGAAACTCATATATCTTTTTTGATAGTATTTAATTTTATGAATTGGATTTGATTGTAATTTTGTGAAATTATATTTTTTTGTAGTTTAATATAAATTAACCATTTCAAAAATTTAAATTAAAAAAATTTTAAAAATGAACATACGTTGTGAACTCCGAGCAATGTGCCAACGCCAACAGCAATTAATCCACCGGTGGACAAACAAAGAATTGATCCAACAGCTAAAGCCTTCAAAGAAAAGAGATATGGCCTAAATCGAGATGATGATGATGTTGTTGTTGTCGCTGTTTCTCTTAAATATTCGGATGCTTTATAATGAACATACGAATTAATTAATCATAAATCTTTGAAAAAAAGTGTAAATGAATTAGTGGCAATACAAATTTATATTACCTTTACGATGAGTATACCAAGCTGAACTGGTTATACCTGTAAAAAATGAAAGAGCCGACAAGGATAATATTAAATTGTGAGAATTTGGAATAGGAGTTACTTGTGTAGTGGAGGTTGTATCATTATTGTGAGTCATTCTACTTGGAAAAAAATAAACAAAAAAAAAAAGGTGGTCGATTTTCTTAAAAATTTTACTGTTGTACAGATTTTGGTTGATGATAATTTCGCTTATTATTAGTCCGGAGCGTATATAATTCTATGCTGTTTGACTCAAGATGTCCGCTCCCCCCCCCCCCCGCTCAATAATTGAGTCAATACCAGTGAGAATTTTTTTTAAATGTCCGCCCGCTCGAAATTTGAGTCGTTTCGTGATTGGTCCCTTAACAATCGTTTCCTAGCCGGAACGAAGTGAAGTCGATCAGTGAATTTTTTTTAATTAAGATTGCTCCGGAATTAACAAGTTATCAATCATATCATGAAAATAATATTATGGTAATAAATTAGGTTAGGAATTCGTCATCAAATCTTTAAAGATTTTTGTGATTACGAGCGGTTGAGGATTTGTTCCAAGAAAAGATTGAAAGTAATGAGATGCCATTTTATGAAGAAATTTGTGATCGGCACATAAATTGATATTAACTTTCTGCATATTCTTTATTGGTATATTTAAAGAGTGTTTCTTTTATATTTATTATTTGTTTTAGAACAAGCCTTAACATTCCTTATACTTTATTCCATTAAGTTATGAAATTTATTTTTTTAATTCGACTTTGAAAATTTTGATTGATCACCAAAAAGATTTAACAATTCAATTCAATTAAAACAAGTTTCAATATTATAAGCCCATCAAAACTTACAAATAACACAACAACCTTGAATTGTACTATGAAATTTCAGTTCGACCGTATGTTTTATGTTATGTTCGCTTTCAACGATAAATCGAATTCTTCCGCTCCGTTATCAGATATCAATTTTTTTTTTTGCAAAAGACAGTAAAATCGCATCATGTTGATGACTTTGAGGGGTGGAGAAAGATTAACTTTCTGATTTAATTGACCTTGAAGTGGAGGATTAAATTGTTGAACCTCAGCATAACTTTGACGAGTGGAAATTATTGTTGTGAAGGTTGATATATTGAAGTGGGATGATGATTGTTGGGATTGTTCTGATAAAGAAATTGATTATTTGGATTATTTGAATTTTTTCTTTGTACGTCTATAAACGAATGCGGATATAACGACCATTACTAAAAAGGCCGCTACCAACCCAATCGATATACAATTAGTAGTGTTTTTTGGAGGAAGCGGTTGCTTCTGCGGTTGATGAAGTAAATGGAATCTTATTTGTTTGAGTAGTAGTTACTGCTGCTAAAGGTGGTGAAGAGGGTGATCCCCCCATTAGTAGGAAAGATCTTTAGGATCAGAACTACATCCGCATTGAATCGTTTCGTTACAATCGTTGTATCATTTAAGAGAAAAAAAATATAATTTATCATTAAATGTTTCGTCTGGTGATAAAAAAAAAAAAAAAACAAAAGAATCGAGGTGAATCATGTAATTATATAAGAAATAATACGAGCAAGTTTAAGAGGTATAAAAAAAAGTAAGTTCATACCGAATGAAAGAATCATTAGATAATTAAGTATCGTGGTCGAGTGATAGGCAAGCTTTGGTATTTTTGGATTGTCAACTGGAGGTCCAATGTAAAGGTATCTAACATAGCAATTGTTTCTATTACCGGACCTTCTTCAAAATGTCCCTCCATAAATAACAATTTTGCTATCATCTAAATGAATAAAGAAATAAAAAGAAAGAAAGAAATATAAATATAGGAAAAAAATAATAATAACAATATAATTACATAAGACGGCGGAATGAGCCGATCTGCGTCTCCGGTATCTTGGGTCCTGCGGCACGCTAAAACAAATCATCATTATCGTTTATAACTATATTTTACATAAACCTTTAAAGACCACGTATTTGAGGCAATGCCTTATTGATTAATCTGGGTCATCGAGGAAAATATACTAAGTTCAGATGTACCATTCACTAAGGTTGCGTTGTAAAAAGCTCTACCGATCGGAGCATGAATAAAACTACCTAATCCCAACTCGGGATTAATGGTATCCAAATATCAAAAGAATTCTTAGCAAATGCTATCTTACGTCAAAAATAAACTCCACCCAAAATGTAAATTTTTGCTTCATAGCTAACCGAGTTAATTAAAGATCTACTTTTGAGGGATGATCTCTTGTATAACTGGTCACTACATACATTTGATACCGTATCATACTGATGAACCAAACTCGCGGAATCCGGTTGCACACCTCCTATGTAATATCGTAGGTGGTATGATAGAACTATCATTGAAATCTAAATAAAAAAAAATCAACTATGGGACTAAACTTTTCAGTAATTCTCCCTATGAAAAATATTTTTCTTTAATGAAAATTTCTGTTTTGGTAGTTGGAAGTGTCGGAATGAACTGTGTGCACTTATTAAAAGGAACAATTGACTTAATATGATAAATATCAGACGAATTTTTAATAATAAAAAGATAATCTCCCCATTTTAAATGAGTGCTTTCTTTATTTAATCGAATCACTTGTCAAAACATCACAAAATGTAAACAATTCCTTTGTAATTTAAGAAATGGAAATAATGACCCGCATCTAATAAGATGGTTGGTCTCATGTCACGTCTTGAACATTCATTATCGCTATTAAGAATTAATTAATTTTCTTTTTTTTCACTTTGTAATTTACTTTTGTATTTAAATCCATGTTAATACTATTTAAATTTCAAAAAAAAAAAGAGAGAGGAAAAAAAAAGGTAAGGTAATATAATAATAATAATAATAATAATTAAAAACTAATGCATTCAGGTGATATATTGCGGATTGCAAAATGCTAAATACGCTTTTTTCGCGGCCGAATCTTTTGCATCCTTCTTCCTTTCACAGTGTTCGGACCTGAACGCATGGTTTTTAATAATGATAGAGCAATACCATCCTCCTCCTAACTTTTCAAATTCATACTTAATCTTTTCCCCTCCTTTAGCGCAAAACATCTCTGATAAAAGTGTCGGGTAGGTTTTGTACGGTCGAACACCATAAACTACTTGCGGTCGATAAATAGTTGGATAATACAAGTATGATGGATAAATCTGTTGTTCGTATGGACATTGAAATCTTGATATTGCATAATCAATATATTGAGGAGAAAGATTTAACTCCTCATCATCATCGCTCCATCCTTCCTCATAGGCTGCCGTCCCTTCTTCCACTCCGTCCTTTACTTTTTCTTTTGCATCGTCCATCCTTACATCCTCCTCGACCATCTCTTCATCTTCTTCTTCATCTTCTTCTTCATCTTCCAAGTTATCAAGTACATTCCATGGTTTAAAAACTTCTTTTCTTTCCCTATTTAACTCTAAATATTCCTTTTCATATGATTGATTAAATAAATAGTTAAAAGCCAACTCGGAAGCTCGCTCTCTGATACAGATTTCGTAACGTGCCACACAATCAGCTTCCTGTTGGAAGTCACCGATTGATACCTTCCCTATAAATGCGTCAAATATTTTCTTTGTATCATAGACGGGTTCACCAAGTTTTTGAAATTTACAAAATTCTTTTAACATGTGACATGGACATTTAAGGTTTATATTGGGATTTTGCCTCCCTTTGGATGCTTGGTGGTTTAGCCAACCGAAACTTCTTGGTTTGTTTCCGATGAAATTCTTCTTTGATCGTTGATTTTGATTCTGATCCTTTGGTTGTATGCTTTCCTTGGAAGTTACCTTCCTTTGAGATTTTTCTCTTGGGTGATTCTTTTGAAGTCTCTTCTTTTGAGGATTTGTATTCATGTACTTGTTTTTTTGAACCTTTAATGATTTGACCAGTCTCTCTCGTAAATTTGGTTCCATGTTTTCCATCAAGTCCTTAAAAGCCAACCTTGCTACATCTTCCTTTGCCCCTTGCATAGTGGTTAGTGCCGGAGGTGAAGACCATGACTTATTAAGGAAGGTAAGGGTACAAGTAATCTCTCCAGGATTTCCCGTTTGATTAAATTTGTATCTCGGGGACGAAACACGTAACTTGTAACTTATGTCTTCAAGGATTGTTAATGGATGCATATTGCTCGGAAAAATGGTTTTGAGATCTATTTCATTATCAATCTCGATATCACTCTGTGCATCAAAACCCGTGGAAAATTTCACTTGCTTATTTTTCTGAGGTTCGAACCCTTGTTGTTGTTGTTGCTGTGCAATTGAAAATCCTTGAGAGGGACCACCAGTTTCAAAATAGCTTTCCATATTTATTCGTATTTTGTATAAAAAAAAAAAGAAAAGAAAATATAGTAGTAATAGTAGTAGTGGTAGTAGTTAGAATTTGTTTTGACGAGAGAGAATTTTATTTTTTCCCTTTTTTTTTTTTAAAAAAAAAAAATAACAATAATCAATCAAACCAAATTTATATATATATGTATATATATAGGTTAAAGAAGTTAAGGGAATCAGGTTATCAAGGTGATCAATCTGCGCTGTTGATTAAAATGATACCAATAATCCTTGACGCGTTTTTTCATTACTTTTCAAGTATTTTTGCATAAACCAATTGTCTAAAATTATCTTCTCTTCATGCTTTGCTTGAACGTTTTCCTTGATGATACAAAGGTGAAAAACCGTTTGGAAATTTCCCGGTTAAGGTGTATGTCACAAGTTAACTCGTGTAACGGACAGGATGATTTACCACAATTGTAAAAAAAAAACGGGCGTCGTTTTACAACCCCCGGATCTCAATATAGTATATAGTAGGTCACGATAATAAAACCTCGTTATGTTTGTTCCAAATACCAACTAAATTTTGATTTCTCGAGGAAAACATATAATAAATCCGTTATCGCTGTAGTGTAACATCCCATGTATAAAACAATCATGTTGCATAAAATAGTCCCAGAAGTTCCCAAATGTAATCGTTCCAATTTTGGTGATATTAAAATACGGGTGCTCTTGACACGTGGTTACAAACATATTTGAGTCTCTCTTATTTTGAGCCCTTACGATTGATAATTTTTTTGAAATTTTATTATTTTGAAAAGAATATAATATCTATGAAAAAATGTCTATGGAAAAAAAAAAATAAATAATGAAACAAAGAGGATTAACTAAATGATATCTTCAACAATTTTTTGAGGAGCTGCACCATCAAATGAGATCTTATAAATGGTTGTGAATAGAGGGAATCTATCGTGAAAGAAAAAAATTTTGAAATTAGAATAAAAATTTTTGAATATGATAAAATTTTCGAAAACATCAAATCATTCATTGAATGCTTACTCCCGCTCTAATCCTTTTCGTTTCAAAACCATGTTGAGTTCTTTCGCGGTAAGCGTCCCTTGTAATTTTTGACCATTAAGGAGTTCTTTCTCTAATTGATCGAACGACTGAAAACAGATAAAAAGTCAATTGAATGAATTTCAAAAAAAAAAAAAAAAAAAGTATTTTTTTTTAATTACCTTTCCTGTGAGAACGTGCGCCTCGGCCACCTTTCGATTTCTACCACCATAACAAGAAGTGATTACATCAGCGATACCACAACTTTCGAAAAAGGTTTCATCCTTAATACCCTTATAAAACATTTTAATAAATTTTTTCATTTCTAATAAACCGATTCGAATGATGGCGGCTTTAGTGTTATCACCCATTTTCAACCCATCAATTATCCCCGCACCTATAGCGACGACATTTTTTAACGCTCCACACAATTCAACCCCTACAACGTCATCAACTATACCAACCCTATAATATTTTGTTTCAAATAATCTTTTAAATAATTCTCCTTCTTGACGATTTCGATATCCGATGGTTGTCTCTGAAAATTTCTCCGCCGCGATCTCATTGGCAATGTTTGCACCCGAGAGTGTACAAACCGGTACTTTTAAAACTTCGTGGATTACCTCTGACATTGGACGTATGCCCGTGTCTGAGATATCGAAACCTTTTATTAAAGTGATCGCTTTGGCCTTTATATGAACCTTTCCCTTTAATTGATCACATACATCGTGCAAGAACTGAATTTTTTTTTTTTAAAAAAAAAAGAAAAAAAGGTTACTCGTGTGAAAAAAAAAAAAAATGAAAGAAAGAAAGAAAGAAAGAATGTGATACCTGATGAGGAATAACGAATACTAAAATAGTAGCATCTTTGATGGTTTCCAAGAGATCAGGTACGGCTTTAACATTTTCAGGAATTTTGAATCCTGGCAAATATTTTACGTTTTCATGCTTTTCGTTTATCAACTCGGTCAAATTCCTTCCACCTACCGTCTCTTCAAATACCCACATCTTAACCTCACGATCGAATCCTTTTAGTTGAACGACATTCACTCCAATGATTCTTGCAATTGCGGTACCCCTGTAAGTAAGAAAATGGGTTCAACAATTGCAACTTTTTTTTATCGATTTACATTTTTTTCAAAAAGGGTAAATTACCAGTTTCCGCTTCCAATCACAGCAATCTTTTCAACGTCAGTAATTTTCGATTCGATAGCCATCGTGTGATGATTTTTATTAGGATGAACGAAAGATTTTAAAGAGAAATAATGATTTGATCGATTTATCTTGTAGAATGGGACTCGTGTGAAAAAAATTTTGTTTTTGCCTTTTCTTAAAATTGATCTAAAAAAATACTGCATTTATATATTCCCAAATTTTTTTATAAGGATCCTACTTTAAATGAAGTTGTACCATGATTGCATATTATTTATTAATGATTGCATATTATTTACTAATGATTACTTAATATGTTCAAGTGCGATTACATCTATAATACCTCAAATTAGGGAAGAATAATAAAAGGATTTCTTCAAGGATCCAAAAAGGTTTTCCAAAAAAAAAATAAGTGCGCCCAACCTGTCATTTGCTAAACAAGTTAATTAATGTGGCGCATGAAACCCGTTGTGTTATTTCACATGAAAATCTTCATTGAGTAACTTTTTTTATTTTTAGACTTATCATGTGATGAACGGATTTTTTTTACATCGAATTTACATCATTTATTAACTTTGAGTTTAAGATCAAGCTTCAAACCATACCAGATTAAATCATTTTATGTCGATATGTTTTTTAACTATAACGAGTTATTTATTTTCGACATTCTTTCCATCATGATCAATCTTTCAAAAAGTTCGTCGGGGTTTCAAAGCCAAAATCTTTTTACATAAAGATCTTCCACATTTTGTCTGCCAAATATATATTTTGTCTATAAGTACAAAAATATTTTTCAATATTCAAAATCACAATACAAACCGCAAAATACACAAGAACCTTTTTCATACCTTTTTTAAATGCGCCGCGGCGATAAAATATTTTGTGAAAAGACATTTCTGTTTGCTACTTGGTTCGATAAAAAAAAAAAAAAATAGAGTCAGGAAATGAATCGACCAAAAGACCTTTCACAAAGCATTACTAAGTTGCCACATTCATTGGTACGTGAATCAGATAGACGTCCATCGGCATACATACAGAATAGATTTTGTGTTACATTCAATTTTTATATTCATTCCATAAAAGTTATTTATTCAAAGGTCATCCGATTCGGTGCATTAAAAAAAAACCATTTTGTCCTGCCTCTATCAAAAATAATGAACATCATAAAACAGGTAATGTGAAATATATTTTTAATTGCAAACCATCCGACCAGAATTTTCCTAAAACGTTTTCACCTTTATCAATAAATTTTCCTCATATGTTAAAAGGCCCACCATTTAAAATTGAAATTCATCATCAAATTCTTGACAATAATAGATTTCCGTAAAAAAAAAAAAGTGGACTCATGTGACATTATGATAAATGAAAAATTACCAAATTTAGAACATTTTAAATTTTTAATATGAAATTGAAAACTAGAACTATTTGATTTTTCTGATCACCCGAAAAACTGATCCACGTATATATTTTCCGTTAGATTACCGTGATTTTTTTCGTTTAATCATTTATAGTAATTTCACGGGTTATCAGAAAAGTTTAAATACATACTTACATTGCTTATATTAATAACCGTTCTATACTGCTTATCATTTCTTCCTCTTTTTCTTTTACAATCACAATTGCATGTTTTATTATGTAAGTGTCAAGAAAAATCTTTGTAAAGTAAATTTACAAAAGCAATTTTTTTTTGTCAAAAAAGATTTTGGGATCCTCAATAATTGTCCATTTAGATTTAATATTAATCATAAATAATTATAAATTAATTCTCTCCATAATAACAACCGTGTAATTAATTAATTTATAATATAAATTTAGTAATTTTTGACATCCGACAAGAAATTTGTAATTTCCATATTTTATGATGGACAAATAATATATGCGCCGCATGCACATATTGGTTACATTGGGTCACATCCTCAAAATTATCTTTTGATACATGAAAAAAAAAAAAACTTTGATTGTGATTCGATTAACTCCTTTCTAATACCATCAATTAAAATGATGATGAAGGACTTTTTGAGACCAAACATGAACTCTCCTCACCTCTTGATCATGAATTAAACGACGCTATTTTAGTCGACTGTAAAAAATTATAATTGTTGACTAAATCTGGTAAATTAATTAATTAGATTTTTAAAATTCAAAAATGCGCTCCATTGTTTCTGTGTTTGTTTGTTTTATTATTTGTGACGAGTTTTTCCGTGATTTCATGGAATTTCTTTTGAGTCGCAGATCTTTTTACCTTGCTGCGCTATTCGGCGTCAGAAAAGATAAAGGGACCGAACGGTTGAAATTTAAAAAGTAAATTATGTAACAATAGGCAAACGTTACAAAAAAATTCGAATGGAATGATGTTCATTGGATCAGATAAGAGGAGATATGAAGAGTACTACCATAATAAGAACAAAAGTTAATTTAATTTGACCCTTAAGGTTCGTTTGGTTAATTTGTAACGTTGTAACTTTTTTTTTTTTTCCTATTGTATAACGTGATATGCACGTATGTTATTTAACAATACAAACTTTAACACTCCATTTGTCGCATGATCAAGTTTTTTTTAATCGATCCCAATTGATTGCGCGGTTAAATTTCTTTTTCTGTCCATGCGTCTTTTCTTTGCTTATATTTGGGAATATGACATGTAAATTCGTTTTATATACATTTTACATTTCTAAAAGATTTTGTGTAATCCTTTTCAAATTTGGTCAAAATCAATTTATTGCGACATTTAACGGGCGAAATACCTTTTTTTTTTTTTTTACATTGTACAAGGTTTTTTTAATTACTCGTTTTTTATATATATATATAATTAAGGAAGTGGACACCTTTATTTTAAGTAGATTGTACTCATTGTATATTTAATGATTATAAAAATTAAAATTATGATTGATAGACAATTCATTCTGATAAACGTCCGACATAACCTTATCAGTTATAACAGAGTAATCATCGTCATCCATAACTTTCAAAAATTATCATTTTAACTATGTACAAGTTTTTTTTCAGTTTGGTCTGCATAATGCCCGTGCCGTCCGTTACCTGTTACAGGTTGGTGGTGCCTCCAATAAAAATATAAC